CGCACCATTTAGCATGCTACAATCACACATACATTACAGCAGCATCCTTTCATTACCAGCTTACTCAAGTCACTTTCAGCGTGCTCTTTAATCCAATGATTTTCAATGTACTATAGTTACTTTACATGATGTTGTTGAGCCTCATGTACAATATCTCCGGGGATGCAATGGTCAGGTCAAGAGTCCACAATTTTCAGTGCTTCGACGACTACACTCTGGTGACTAAATGGAAAAGCATGTAAAGAATTCACCAGGGCTATAGACTACAGTGGTCCCTGGAAGTCAGGCATGAAAACCCTCTGGTTTTGCACGGGTTTGCCTTCTTGTCTTTTTTCTTGTCTTTCCTCAGAGCATGGTGGAGTGGGGCAGTCGATACAGTACATTCTTTCAGGTTTCCTCAAATATGTTGAAGCTTCTGTACAACTTTGGTGAAAGGTTTCAACATTGGAATGTCAAGATTTTGGCAATATTTTTGTCTCATTCTTTTTCCAACCAAATGAATCCAAATGATAGAATCATGACATATCTCTGACCAACACCTGATCCGGATTCTCAGAGTCTCAAAGTGCAATTGATACATCAAATAGAAGGAAACAGTACGCAAAAGGCAAGAGACCTCTAACACTGCAACATGAGAACATGTCAGTGTTTGCAGGTCAACTGTTGGAACTGAATGTTCTTCAACATATCCTTCATATCAAATCCAAGCTTCTTTTTGCTTACCTTTGCCTCCTTGCCATCCTTCCCTCAACAACAGAAGTGTCTCTACAAACTCAGGCTCACTGATGTGACAACATGTGACAACTGCCCCAGCTTTTGTGACCACCCGAAAATGCATAGAATTCCCATATTTGTTCTGTATTAAAACAAGTCAGGATCGTGATTTCACCCAAAGTCTGCAAGTCCAACCATATTTCCCTCTTGCTCGTTGTGCAGGACGCTTGGGCTCCAGACCCTTGGCAGAGAGTGGGTTCCTTACAGTGCGGTGCAGGATGTCATAACACGTGCGATCCATTTCAGAGATGTCGTGGCCTAGGCCTGGGAAATGAGTCTAAAGTTGACGGTTGTATGAGACTATATCACTGACTGAGTCTCCCCTTTAACTAATCATGAGAGAGATCCTGAACATACATTTTCTTACGAAACATTTCATTGCAAGTGGATGTGAAAGTCAAAGAAAAGAAACAACCTGTCCTCTGTCACAACTCTTTGACCTGCCAAATCCTTCAGTGCCCAGGGACTGCCCCGATGATCCCGTTAACAAATCCTTCTGATATCCCGCACTCTCTCCACTTACGCCGAGCTACTCTGCGCAGTTAGGGCACATGTCGAAGCGGCAAAAACTGCAAGGCCCAGAGGAAAGGATGGCATAGTGCCAGCAACGACATATATATATAGTTGTCTCTGGGTCTTGCAAGACCAAGAGAGGTCAAAATGGGTCTAGCAAGCTGGCAAAAATGGACCAGCCCCCATCGTGGTTTCCTGGTATGTCCATACATTTCATCCTAATATGTCCTATCCTCAAAAGTCACACCCGGCATATGACAAACACAATATCACTCAGCCAGGACGAGAACTCACAGCTTTGCCTGCAGTGGAAAAAATGCGACAGCTTCCTGGCGCGCTGCGTGCTGATGCATGTGGTTGCATCTTCATCCGGGCTACAAACACAACCAAACATAATATGGTGTGCATGGAATCGAATCATACTATTTGTGACATGATGTTGATGTCCCGGCCGCAGCAGAAATGACTGCTCACATCTGTTCACTGGAATGTAGCCAAGGCTCCCTTTCGAACAAAGTTTCGGCAAATTCTCTTTGCCACAAGCGTCACAGCAGGCCTGAGTTCCGTGTCAGAACCAGAATGGGATCACAATGAACATCCATGGACCAATGCCGTGAGGCATGACACATATGACACTTCAACCAACGATGTCCCATGAGATCAACACTGCTCGCCAAGTGACCTGGTTCTTGTAGGTGCTCGGATTGTCCGAGCGGTGCCCCATGCTGTGGCCCTTCTTGCACCTCAAGCACTGGAGCCCCAATAGAACTTTGTGAGCCAAATTCTGAATCTGGATGATTGGGTTGTCGACACCCGACCTTTGCAACATATTGCCAAGTGAATTCAAATGGAAAAACTATGAACAACTCGTATAGCACCCATTAACGTATTACTGTTTTCTACAAGTCCGTTTGTTTTTTTCTTTTTTCTACATCCGCAAAGCCATTGATGCTTCAAAATGTTCCTGTCACTGGGCTCAGCCACTTTGGAGGCTGAGGCTCTGAGGCCTGGGAATCGCTAAATGTGACACTCAAGAAGTTCAACAAATATTCAATGATCAATAAATTTTGCAGCATCATTCAGCGCAATTTATGACATACTTGGTCATGAAATCAGAAATCTACACTGTCAAAGTGACCTTGTCCTCTGTCTTTACACTCCTGCAAGGTTGTGGGCACGCTGCAAATACGGACCACTTTCCAAAACTCATAACAGCTGTCAAATGGTGTTAGACCAAATTCAGAATAACTGTGAACAAACAAACTTGGCTCACAACTCGTTTCCAGAGCACATCTCTCACATAAATTCAACATACGCCAGCAGCATTTGTGTCTTGTCCTATTCCGCAAACGGACCCGCTTCTTCTTGCTGGCCTCAACGATTCAACGGACGCGGTGAAGCTGCATGGCTGGAGGGTAATCTTAAAGCATGATGGGACTCACCCTGCATCGGTCTCAGCACTTGATAATCTTGACCAAACCCTACTTCAATACGCATCTCATAATCATCTAATTTCATCAAATACATACTTTATCCATCTTTATCCATGACATGAACCCTCCGTATTGATCCGTAATTATTCATCTATTCAGAACAACCCTTGAACAAGCCCAAATACATTCAGTAGCCCATAGCTATTTTTGAAGACTTCTGGCATTTCCACAAACCAATGCCGTTGGCGACCCAAGAGAAAGCAACGCACGGTTCCACAAACAACTTTGCAGAGAAGGCAAGGTCAGGTCAGTCCACTTGAACATCCAATTCAGCTTTCGTCTACTAATACTATCAATCAAGAATGAAGATTCTGCCTTCACCATGACCGACATATTATGGCAAACATCTATCCAAACCAGAAACATAATTTTAAAATATCTTAAACGTGCAATCAGTAATAGTAGACATGACCGATTCCTGATCCTGTAACATGAATAGGGCCAGACATGGCCAGAATCGTTTGTCTGGACTTCTCTCAAATGTTTGGTTCAATCGCATGCTCACGCAGCAGTGCCTCCTCTTCTTTGGGAGCCGGCTTTGCAGCACCACCTTCTCGCTTGCTTTGTCCAGGCCTAGATGTGAGCTTGAAAGCGAAAAATCAACAGACAACCGCAGTGCAGCAGCTAGACTTGAACATCCAGCCTCCTTTGTTGGCAGGGTTTGAATCAAGAATCCCTAAAATTGCTTGAATTGTAATCTTCAACTAACTTTCACCTGCCGCCGTGACAAAAACTAAAATGTGCAGGTCATGTACTTCACAAACTGCCAACATCTGCCAAATCCAAAGTCGCTTTTGATTTATGGAACAGTTCTTACCTGCCACATGGAGAGCGTACATCCTACATCATTACAAAACATGTTTGTTCCTCTGAAAATTGTTTTCACGACGCATGACGGATTGTCTGTCTGCCGGCATTGACAACACTCTGCCGAAACTCGCCTCAGGCGCTTCTTTCCTTTCTTCAATTTGACCTGACGCAATCCAGCAGTATTTCAATGATCTATCAATGGACTGCACAGGCCCTTCTGCGCACCAATGTACTTGCAGTATTTTCAAGCATCAGTATGCTAAAGGGTTGACGATACTTGCCATCCTGCATGGTAGGCAGTTCTGGTTCACATTCATTTGTTCTTCGCAGATTACCTTTTCGAACATGTCATGTATCAAGGGGATATGTCTGACTACAAGCTCCTCCTGCCTAACATGTTTTAGTTCCTGCCAGTTTCAATCAAAGAAGGATCTCTCAAGTCACATGCAAAGTCACCTAATGACCTTAAATCCGCCCGCACCGAAGGTGCTGGGGCGTGATCTTCCGGATGGCACTCGAAAAAGGTTACAGGTTTACCTGGGGGGGGGCGGGCCCATTTTTCGGCCAAAACCTCCTGTTTTTGACAGGTCGTGACGCTCGCCTTCAAAAAACACTGTAAAAAACAGTACGGAAGACACCTGTTCGTGAACGCGCCCGTCCAAAATCGGCAAGCGAAAAGTGAAAAAAAAACCGTGTTTTTCAACTTTTTGACCTCAATTTTTTGGTTTGCAACATCTTTTTTTGCGGTTCCGCAGGTGGCCTGGCCCGGAGGCGGATTTTTGAGTTTTTGGACCCGTTTTCGGACTGATTTTCGTCGTTTTGTGATAGCAGAAACACTGGTTTTTACAGTGTTTTTCTGTTTTCTGCATGCTTGACGGCTAGCTTCAAAACTTCCAAAAACCTCGTAAATTACGCTGTTTTATGTTACGGTGTGAATGAAAACATCGTAAATACCAGTGTTTTTTGACGTTGGTTAAAAAAAACACTGTAAATTACAGTGTTTTTGGCCACCTGACCCTCAAAAACCATGGTATTTGCAGTGGTTTCTGCTTCTCACCGCGCAAAAACACTGTAAATAACAGCAATTTCGCCGTTTTTTCATGTTTTTCGTTATTTTTTGAACTGCGTTGGTCCGCTATACATGGCTATCAAATTCTTCGCGTTTTTTTTTTCCGACAATCAGTACTTTCGGATGTTTTTGGTCTCAATGGCCGACATCATTGGCAGTTACGAGCGGCTGCCCAACGATGCGGTGCGGGCGGTTGCCGTCGCGAAGCGACGTGAATAAATCCCAGTGACAAATGGAACATCAACGCAGCGTGCCATCCAGCATCCCAGACCTGCCCAAGTGGAGCCACTGCAGGCTTTTTGGGCGTCTCATCTGCAACCTTCGGTGTGAAGCCTTTGGCCCTGCAGTGTGGTGACGCATGGTGAAGACATGTGAAGACATATCATGACATATCTGCCATCGAAACAACCTATCAAAATTATCATTTGTTTACATATCATAGTTTGTGATAGTTTGTGGGTATCCATATAGAAATTAGTGCAGAGCTGGTCTGGAGGTTGTGAGATGTTGCGTTTAAGTCTGAAAGCACTCACCAAAACAAAAGGTAAAACTTGAAAGGTGCAATACAACAAACTGTACAAACTTGTACAAACACTTCTGTGACGCTGCCGTTATAAGCCTGTCCCACCAACAATCATAACTTGCACCACATAATTGCATGGGGTCAAATTGCTGAAAATGGTAACCCCTGTCACAATAAGCATCAATCGCCTAGCAATGGAAGCCTTTTTTCGTTCCTTTCTTGTCAACTTTGGCGCACCCTTAGTGAGAAATATCTGTGGCATACCTTTGGCAAATTTGACATAGTTTTCGCGTTTGTTTGACTTGATCGACCATGTATTATGAAAGAAACATCTGCAAGTATGAAAGTATGATGAGTATGATTCAACATTTTCTGATGCCTGCGTCCAGAATGTGTCTGAATATGTTTGTCACGGAAACCAAGATGAGTCAACAAAATCTCACGCTGCTGCCGAAAATCTGGTGGCGCTCGCGCTTTACCCTTGCCTTTGCCTGAAAACAGCCACTTTCGCCAAAAAAAAACTCAGCTAAGGCTTTCCTTAAAGATATTGTGTAGCCACACATCTCATAGCCAATGAATCTGTATGAACCTGTATTTTCACCTCTTCTGGTACATTCAGCGTGCAAGGAAAGAAAAGCATGGAAGACCTATTGCAGAGCCAATCCAACTCCAAGATATCCAAGGCGGTCCAAGCCAAAGTCCATCACTGGACAGGCCTTTGGCATCGGCAGCATCGCCTGAACAAAGGCCAAGAGGATCCAAGAGGTGTCACAAATACTTGAGAATCACGAGACGATGCAGGGCGGGCGCAGGGCGTTTTTTTTTCGGGTAGCCCTTCTGTTCTCTGCTGCCATTCCGCTCTTGCCAGGAATTTGCTTGTTGCACCTCGGCCGCCGAGATACGTAGGCCATTCATTCGCTAAAACAAAGACAGAATCGGAATCGTTTCATTCTGGGCCCAGTGAATAGAGCATTAGTAGCATCTCAGTATAAGTCAGTCATGTTTGTTCCTTGCTGCCTGCAGCCTATGTAGAGATATGTAGAGAGTGTCCAGTAGATTCGCGCATCTTCCAATGTTGAGCTACACATGCCTCACCTGGAGACAGCAGTCCGCCCCAAATCGAATCTCAGGATTTGGCCATCGCGAGCTGCAAAAACTGCGTTCCACCCGGTTTCATTGGCACTTCATGGCACTTCCATCTCCACATCGAATGGACCACGGGGGTCATCCGTGCTGACCGATGTGACATCCGTGTTGCTGTTGGCATCGGACATTTCCCTTGGAGGCTCAGCCGCTCAGCCCCTTTCCTTCAGGGCGGTTGCAGTTGCACCTCAGAGGACCAATGGACCGAGTGTGACCGAAGTCTCCAAGGCAGGGGTGTGGAGCTTCAATTTGGAACATCAATTAACCATAGATTAACCATCATTAATGTTGATTGATTCGTTCCAAAAAGACTGGATTCAGCTAGATTAGCTAGATGCTTTCAAAGGCTGCTGAAACAGAACCCCCAACATACCCCAACACTCTTTTGCTTGCATTGCGCTGAAGCCATAATACGGCCCTAAAAATGTCTTGATCAACAGGGTATGCCAATAGAAACTCTGCTGTCTCCTCAAAAAATCAAACACCATCTCAACTGAACGGAATTGCCGCAAAAAACATTGGGAAATAGCAAGGCAATTACACTTAATTAACCGGCCATGATTTTGAACAAGAAATCTTGCTAAGTCACGCAGAATCTTCAACGATGTCTGACGCAGTTCCGGTGGGCAATCCACCTGGTGGCCGGCCAAATGGGGCAGGGTCAGCCAAGCTTTGACAAACATTCACAGGTTGCTTGTAAAATACCACAGTCAAAGGTTGCTTGTAAAAAAAACACAGTCAAACACCACTGCGTACAGCTGATATTCCATGATATTCCTATACTGAAGGTGACAACGCCGCTTGCTCAAGCTGAGAAAATCAAACACACAAACATAAGCTACTGACACCACAGCAAGAACAGAAACTAATAGATCGAGATCCCCGTTGAACAATTGAACCAACATGTTACACTAAAAGCATCGCTTTACCAACTGAGGGGATGACCCTTACTAGCATTATGTGGATTTCAACAAGGCGATCCATGGCTATCCCCAATTCCAAGTCAGATATTACAAAAACCGGCGCTAGATTCATATCATGACATCATCACTGCGCCGAACCAGTGTTCTAGTGAAACACAAATCCAAACAACTCGGACTTAACACCAAATGTGCCTTGAACATGCCTTCTGCAACATTCAAAAGATCCTGAGACCGCGACTGACTGTTTCAGGGAAGCAAAAAGAAGAATTACATGGAACGTAATAGAACCTGTGTATTTCGCCTAGCAAGAGATTTGAAACACATAATACCTACTTCTTGCTTGCAATACAAGCTTCTGAATACATCTGAATACACCGACATCTTGCAAATGGCAACGTCCAAGAACCTCAACATCCCGACAGGTCCCGACACCCTCAGACTTTGCGTTCAAAGTCTCCAAGCCATCCTCCACATCAAACAAGCTGGTGGCGGCTTCAGAGATGCACTCCTCGCTCTTCACACCCGTGGATGGGCATTTGATCGACGTAAATCCGACCAAACAAAGGGCATAACCAGGGTCTTGCACCACAGGATAGATCATTCTATTCTCAAATATATTCTATTCCTGGAAACCACCCTGGGTTGGCATATCTGGGTACTACCCATTTTTAAAGTACCCTCGAGCAATCCCAAGCAGTGCGTTGATGTGCCCACCATTGTTGTTTAGTATCTCCACTATATGTTTGGTTGTATCCTATTCTCCACGCGTAGCAGGCGTTGTTTTCCCGATTTGCTTGGTGATACTACATCCCCATTCTTGAATTCTTGTAGCTACTGACTTTTTTTGCCGATCAATGCTATACTCCCTCCCAATACTTTTAATACTTATGTTCCCTGAAAATCTCCACATAGATCTAACTTATTATATGTTATATAGTATATTACAGTATATTTACTAACTAGTTATATTAATATATTGGTTAGTCATTAGTCATCCCATGTCATCCCCAAGGGGATCCCAAGGGGATCCCGCTGTCCGTGAGGATTTCCATCTGCTTCGCCGCAGCGCGCTGCCTTCGCTCCGCCTGCAGGCGCCAGAAGTCTGCAGAGGTCTCGCTGGGCACCTGGGAAAAAAAAGTCAGTTGGAAGATAGATGAGGATAGAATCTGGGTAAATTGTAATAATTCACCAACCTGAATTAAGGCCATTTGGGGATGATTTCCCTTATTAACCATGATTCCAGTGAGGTCGCAGTGAGGTCGTTATAATTTACCCAGATAGAATTGAATATAGATTTATAGCATTTAATAATATTGACCAATGATGGAATTGGATTTAGCAACCCAGGCAAAACAAATCAAAACTTATTATACGACTGGTGATAACATGTGAGAACGGGTATCTTTGGTGCAGTCATCAGAGTACTTCATTCCACAATGGCAGGCTTTGCAAATGTTCAAAAAATGATAAGTTATTGATCCTGACCATCGTGATACCATTTTGGCCAACAACCTCTGATCTCCCACTGACAGAACTGGCAAGGTCTGCACCTCGGACTCGTCTAAGGGGCCCACAGGCTCAGGACCTTGGAATCTTATTCGCAAAAGACCGTACTTAAACTCGGTGAAAGATGGTGAAAGATGGTGAAACACAATATAGAGTCTCTTATAGTCTCTTTGGTCTCTTGAGTTATATTTACACGGGCTTGTTGATACTGCCATGATGCTTTAAGAATAATTGGGAGGGTCATGGTTCATATGAGGCAAATCTGGAGGTCTTGCTACAAAGTACTGTGGCTGTAGCAGAAAAAATGCGGACTGCATCCACCATGCTTTAGTGTGACTCGAAACAAATATCAAGGAGTTGCTGCTTTCAACAGCAAAGAAAGATCAAGGTTTTTGGTGCAGATCTGATGGTTTGATTTCAAAAATGCAAAGAGGTGTCTGTGTGGTTCCATATTTGGCCAGCAAAATGAATCAAGTAATTATAGAATATTAATGTATAAATATATATATATATGTATAATTAAATTATATATATAATATCAAACATATATCATCTATCCCGTGGCCGACTCCTCTCCCAACATATCCGCTAACCAGGCCACTTAACAAAGATTCTCGCAAGTGCGTTCCTGAAAAGGCTGAAAGGGGACATGTCACTGTCACTGAAATGACTTTACCGGCCATGGCCACATGGCCAACCGATCTTGAAGACTCAACTGTTTGTGAATCAGATGCCTCTGAAGGCAGCCAAATCCCCAGTCTTTCAAAATGTTCCCCTCTATGGTTTTGCCATCAGTGCGAGAACGGAGAACCCCCTGCAATGGTCCTGATTTCACAAAAATGGCCCACAATGCTGGAAGCCGCGGCAGCAAGGAGCCATCGCCTCAAATGCCGGGTATTGCAAAATGTGCCGTGGAAACAACAGCAGGTAGATTGACAAAGTTCTCATGCACGTTTCGGAGAACAGCAGATCGTTTGACTTTAAGATTGAGTTGGCTGAGCTTCATTCCCTGCCTTGAATGCGCTTGCCTATGTACCTGGGAGGCAAGGCAGAAGAGACCCCTTTCCTACAACGACCAGGTTCCTTGAAGTTTCAGGCCAAAGGAACAAAGGAGAGTCCCAATCAACAAATAAAACAACATGCCAAATGAAATGAGGTGTGCTGCATGCTGGTAACAGTATAGACATATCTTGCAAGCATATCCTTTCGATTCCCTGGAGAGTTGGCCAGTGTCACGCTGAGCACC